AAACTAAAGGAATGCAATTTTAAGAGGATATACCCGTCCACCTAAGTTTCATTCAGCCTGAACCCAGCTCTCAGGTATGTTTAGTAAACATGCACGGACCCGTGAAAATTTTGTTCCAGTAAGTTGCTAACTCAGGTGCTAGGGAAGCTAGAAAACTGGAATTTTAAGGGGATGTTTTCTGGCAGTTCTGGCGGCCAATCTTAACTTGTTTAGCTAGAAGCATTTGCCGAAAAAACCGGTGCCGGTGGCACCAAAAACCATGCAAAAAACGCATCTTCGCACGTGCAGCCCGTGCGTTGGCCAATTATTTTTTTAACTGTAGAAATATTCAAGAAAAGCGCTTAATAACAGAACTAAATGCAGAAGACGAGATGCGATCACTGCTGGAAGTATTGTCGAACAGTATGTCCAGAAGATATCTGGTTAGTGGGAAGTTGGAAAACAATGGTCGAGAGTTGAACGTCAAGGAATTTGGCGAACGAGTTGCGTACGTGAATGCTATGGATGCATATCCATGGCTCACCGTAGCTCAGACCTTGCGCCTAGCAAGCTCATTCATCTCACCGACTACTAATGCTTTCAAAAGCACTGAGATGGTATTATCTATCGTTTTTGTACTTCATTCACTTAGATGCGCATGCTTCAGTGCCTGTTAGACTTCTAAATGAATATCAGCGAGTGAGACTAAAAAACAACTTCCGCTTCGCACATAATAAACAAAGCCTCGAAATGAGTGCAGAAGCGCAGGCTGCCTCAGACGGTTATACGGGTATGCACAGGTAGCTAGGTGGGCGCTCGGAAACAGTCATCCTGCTTCTTCTGAATCAGAACAAATATTTTTTCTGGAGGATAATTTGCACATTTCGACTAGTGGAAATATCTGGAGATATCTTCAAATATCTGGCTCATTTTCTCAGTAGTTCAAAAAATTCGAAGCTTCAGGTCGAGCAACTGATCGAGACCCTAGCTTTGTCGCCGTATCGCAATTTCTTGTGTGGCGAATTGGGCAGAACCGAGAAGCAGCGGCTGAAACTTGCAATAGAAATTTTGAAGGATACCGGTTGGCATTTTTTTTATTCCAGTTTAAACAGAAATTGTGGATTTCACCTTTCCACTTATCGCAAAGGTTTCTATATAGGCTTCTTTTTTGATAACTAACGATTTACGTCTGAAATTGCAGAAAACAAAATTGCGTGGTTGAAACATCAGTTAGTTAATTGCAGTGGCATTTGCCGATGCAAACTTTTTAGCCGGCTTGTGCTGTTAACTTTAAATTTGTCTCACAATGTAAAATCGCGGTTGGGGATGAAAAGTTTTCAGATGTGCTGCTGACGGACAATGTGACCAAAGATATGGATCTGTACGATATGGCGTTTGTTATTGATTACGTGCGTGACTGGGCCATCAAGCTCAGTCGAACAGCTGTTATGGCTATTCAGCCACCAACCCTGGAAATTTTAACCATGTTCCGTAAAGGCAATGATAATAATAAATAGCTCTTAGGAAGTGACCGATGGAAGGGAATCTTCTTTACGGATCAGATGATTTCACAGGAGCCTTCTGAATACGATACTTGGCACAAACGTTCCCACATAACAAGGAGAGCAGTCAAAATTTGCTGTAGAAGTGGAAGG